AGGTTGGAGTAGTACACTCAAATGTGGTATATATTGCCTCCAAAATCCAAGGAGGACCACTAGGCTTTAAGTTTCTTAGTGGTAGCAGGAACCAGATGGAGAATGTCTCATGTGTTTGAAGAGAAGTGTGTTCTGCTGTGTTGAACGGAGTGTTCTATAGATATTATAGACGTTTAGTTGCAGTATTCAAGTTTTTTATATCCTTGCTGATTTTCTGTCTCATTCTATCCACTATTGAGATGATATTGAAATCTCTAACTTTTTGTCCTGAGGTAAATCGTGCTTGGTCATAATGTATATATTGTTGGGTCTGATTGTTTGCTAAAATGTTGCAAATAATTTTTAGATCTATGTCCTTGATTCCATTTTGTGGTTTTCTTGTAACATCTCTGTCTGGTTTGGATATCAGAAATGCTGGCCTCAAAGAGTGAGTTGGGGCATATTCCCTTTCCTGCAGTCTTCTGGAAGAGTTGGCATAGAATTGTTATGATTTTTTCCTTAAATGCTTGATAGAATTCATCAGTGATTACCGTCTGAGTCTGTAGTTTTTCTTTGTGGGGAGGTTTTTAAACCATAAATTCGGTTTCTTTAATAGATATAGGTCTGTTCAGGTTATCTGTTTCTTTTTCAGTGAGCTTCTGTAGCCTGTGTATTTCAAGGAATTGGTAATATATTGGTGTAAAGATGTTCACAGTACTTGCTTATTATACTTTTGATATTCATATATTAGTACAAATTAATATGTATTACTCTAGTGATGTCACGTCTCTCGTGCTTTCCTGATATCAGTAATTCATATATTCTTTCTTTTTTTCCTGATTAGTCTAGCTAATTGATCTTCTCAAGAATCAACTTTTGGTTTGATTGTATTTCTTTTTTTGTTTCTTGTCTTCTGTTTCATTTATTTCTGATCCTATTTTTAATATTTCTTTTCTGGGAGTTACTTCAAGTTTCATTTGATTTTCCTAGGATTAAAGGTGGAAGCTTAATTTGGGAAATCCACAAATATTTGGAAATGACCCATGGGTCAAAGGAGAATCACAAAGGAAATTACAAAATATTTTGAACTGAGTATAAACAGGAACAACACATAATTTGAGATCTTTCTGTTTTTCTTAATACAGGCCTTTACTACTATAAAATTCCCTCTATGTACTACTTTAGGTACATCCTACAAATTTTGATATGTTGTGTTTTCATTCTCTTTTGATTTCTTCCTTTACCATTGGTAATTTTGAAGTGTATTACTTGATTTCCAAATATTTGGGGGATTCTGTTACTGATTTATGTTTTCATTCCATTGTGTTTGGAGAATACACTTTGCATAATTCAAATTCTTTTCTAATGAGACTTGTGTTCTTGAATGTAGTCTATTTGGTAAACGTTCTGTGTGTACTTAAAAGGAATGTGTAAATGATGTTGGGCAGCATGTTCTGTAAATATCAGTAAGGTCAGATTGATTGGTAACGTTTAGATCTTTGCTTTGCCCTTTTTTTTTTTTTTTTTTTTTTTTGGTCTTCTTGCGGTATCTGTTATTGAGAGAGAGGTATTGAAATTTCTGACTATAACTGGATTTGTCTGTTCCTCCTTGTATTTCTGTCAGTATTTGCTTCCTATATTTTGAAGTTATTAGTTGCATAAATATTTAGTATTATCTCCTCATAATGAACTCACCTCTTTACCATTATGAAATGACTCTCATCTCCTTGAATATTATTTTCTATGAAATCTACTTTGTGTAATATTAATGTAGCCACTCTTTCTCTCCTTCTTTCTTTTTTTATCTTCAATTTTCTTTTGATTACTGTTAGCATGATGTGTTTTTCTATCTTTTTACTATTATAATATTTGTGTCTATATTTAAAGTGCATTTTTTGTAGACAACGTATAACTGGATATTTTTAAAGTCCAATTGGACAGTATCTATGATTTACGCATAGTACTTCTAAACATGTTACCACAATACCTTATTGTTATTCTTGCTTTAGTCAATTATCTTTAAAACTTCTTAATAAGAAAATACATTTTATATTTACTGACACAGACTATTTCCAGTGGTCTTCATTCTTTGGTGTAGGTCCAGATTTTATTTGATATTTTCCTTTTGCCTGAAGGACTTTTTTAAAGCTTTTTTTTTTTTTTTGTAGTGTAAGTCTGCTCATGATGAATTATCTTGTTTTTGTGTGTTTGAAAAGGTTTTATTTTGCCTTTATTTTTGAAGAAATTTCTCGGGGTGTAGAATTTTAGGGTGATAGTTTTTCTTTTAGTACTTTCAAAATGTTACTCCAGTGTCTTCTGGCTTGTGTTGTTTTCAAAGAGAAGTCTGCTAGAGTATTTGTTCCTTTTTACATAATGTCTTTTTTTTATCTGGCTGCTTTTACAATTTTCTCTTCTCTTTATTGTTGATTTTAAGCAGTTTGATGATTATATTTTGGGGTAATTTCTTCAAGTTTCTTCTACTTAAAGTTTGTTATACTTCTTAGATACATAGGTTTATAGTTTTCATCAGATTTGAAAAATTTTTGGCCATTATTTTTTCTTTCAAGTTTTTTTGTCTTTCCCTTCCTCTTGAATCCAATTACATGTATGTTAGGCTGTTTGATGATGTTCTTCAGCTCACTGATGCTCCATTCCCTTTTACTTAGTCCTTTTTTAAAATTGCTTTTTCATTGAAGTAGTTTTTTTATTTCTGTGACTTTAGGTACACTAGTCTTGTCTTCTGTGGTGTCTAATCTGCTGTTATTCCATCCTGTGTGGTTTTCATTTCAGACATTTTATTTTTCATCTCTAGAGGCTTGATTTAGGTCTTGGATATATTTTCTGTCATCTAAGTCTCTATTTAATGTGCTCAATCTTTCCCTACCATCTTGAACATACTGTTTTAGTGTCTTTGTCTACTAATCCTATCATCTCTGTCATTTCTGGTCTGTTTCTGTGTACTGGTTTTTCTCCTCACTTTGGGTCATAGTTTTTTGCTTTTTGGTATATCTGGTAATTTTTTATTGGTTGCCAAATTTTGTATTACCTTTTTAGGTGCTGGATATTTTTGTATTTGCGTAAGTATTCTTGAACTTTATTCTGGGATACAGTTGTGTTACTTAGAAACAATTTAATCCTTTCAAGGCTCTTTAAAAAGGCTTTGTTAAGTCCAGTGCAGCCTTCAGTCTAAGGCTAAATTTGCACCACAGCTAAGCAGATACTTTTGAGTACTCTATCCAAAGCCTGTGTGTTTTGAGGATTTCCACTCTGGCTGGTCAAAACAAATTACTCTTGCCCCGTATGAGCTTTGAGAATTATTCCATCTGCTCCTTTTAGGTGTTTTTTTTCCATTCTTTGTACTTCCTTCAAATGAATGTACTGATCGTTGCTGACCATCACTCAGCTGAAGACTTGTGGAGAGACTGTCTGTAGATCTTTGTATAGTTCTCATTTCTGCACTGCCCTATACTCAAAGCTGCTTTCATCTCCCCAAACTCCCAGATCTTTATCCTCAAGTCACAGAGACTTCTAGGGTCTGGCATCATTTCCCTTTTGCCCTGTGGCCTGGAAACTCTCTAGTCTGTAAGTTGGAGCAATTGTAGAGCACTGAGGAACATAATGCTCTAGTCCCTTCTTAGAAAAAATAATGAGGCTATTCAGTTCTATGGTTGCTACTCCACATATGTCATGATGTCTTATTAATAAGTAGCTTGATGTGGTCAAATGCTATGAGGTTAGATAGCTGCCACCTTATTTTTGCCAGTACCAGAAAAAGCACTTTTTTCTGTACGTTCATTAATATTCAGATATAGTAGTGAAGAAAGCAGGGGCTAGGGAGGCAATATGTTTGTCTTTTGAATAAAGATTTTGGCAGGAAAAGGGGAGAAAAAGAGGAATATGACATTTTCAGATTTATTCAGCTAGAGTATTTGTTTCAGCAAATAGTGTACTTCTGTGTAGGTTTTGGCTCGCAGAGACTGAATTAGCAGTATGCAAACAAGCACCTCTTAAGGAACATATACCAGTTATATACAGTGAGGGACTTGTAACCTCTTTCTCTAGTAAGAATGATGAAGATGATCTTGATGATTAGATATATTTCACAACAATGATTCAATAGTGAAAAGTAGTATTACATGTCTGAAGAAAAAGAGAAGGGTAATTATGGTGACCTTGTTGCAGAGACACAGAAAAGAAGAAAATCAGAATTTTTAAGTCTTCTATTTTTCTTTTAAAGAACAGTTATTTTATTAGCTATCCCACATCTGTTCTGACAATGCTACATCTGTGCCCTTCTGAAAATGGAAAGATTTTTCTCAGAAAACAGGTTTGAACTGGTTAACATGTAGCAATTTTTAGTTTTTATTTATTTCAGTGTGAATTTTTAGTTTTGCTGCAGAAATATGAAATACCTTTCTGGTATTATAGAAATTATAATTCAAATTATAGAATTTTATGATTAATTGTAAAAGCAGTGGAAATTTAGTAAGACAGAGGCTGGCCATCAAGTCCTAACTATGTGACTGACAAGCTGTATGACTTTGGTGAAGCCATTTCCTCTCTTTGAGACTATTTCCTCAACTTTAAAATGAGAGGAGGAGTTAAATGTCTTTGAATACCCATGATTATCAAGGGATAAGTATTGTAGAAAAGTAAGAACTAGAGGAGTTGAGAAACAGAGGTATATTACTGTTAGCGGAGATAGATTACATATATCGTGGATGTGACTGAATTTAAGCTGAATGGTTGTGAAGCCAAATGAAATAATTTATGTGAAAAATTCTGAAAATAATATTATTATATAAGTGTAGTGTGTTTTAGCAAACGAAACAGAGCATAGTACTTTGGATGAGAGAAGGGGGGCTGTTCTGGGATGCTGATGGTATAATTATTACAGTATTTTAAAGAATGTTTAAAGCTGCCTTAATAGTCCTAATTGAAACTTCTAAGAGGATACTACTCTCAGTTGCTTTCCAGGGTGGGGATAATTATGGATCTGATCTCTTCTCTTGTTCTTACAGCTCTATTATCAAGTCCTAAATTTTGGAATGATTGTTTCCTCGGCACTGATGATCTGGAAGGGGTTAATGGTCATAACTGGAAGTGAAAGTCCAATTGTAGTGGTGCTCAGGTAACAACTAATTTTTCTTTTCAAGTCATGGAATGCATGGCATTACTTAGGAGAAATTGAGATATTGAATAACTGATATATCATTTCTTCAGAAACTACTCTTTCCCAAAAGAGGACCTGGAAGGAAATTAGTTACTATTTCTCAGTTGTGAGAAATTCTGTCTTGTTAGGTGCTTTTCATTCAGACCCCAAAGGGCACATGGCCTTTCTATGAAATGTTTGCTGTATGAGCTTTGTTTTTGGCACATCCCTTAAAGTGTTTCAGTGACTTTATTTTCTTGTAATTCTTCTGTCATCTACATTCTTTACTTTGATTTATCAGGGCTGATATTTAGTTGTTAATTCACTAGCTTATGTATCATCTCCACAAATTAAGAGTTTTTCTCCAGCGTGTTCTCAGTGTCAGTACAGAAGCATCACTAATTATTTCCATGTTTCCTGCTGACCTTTAGATATCACTTCAAGTAGACGTCAGGAATTTTGAATATATTAATGCTGTCTCTTAAAGTGACAAAAAATGGTACTGACTTTTTCTCTACTGTCTTCCTTCTCTGTACTTATATTCATACTCTTAGTGATGAAAAAACCTACTTTAGCAGCTCATTTTTGGAGAATTACCACTTGGTTATTTAATTGAATCATTATAGATCTATCTTATTTGGGGCTTAATTATGTAATCTATCTCAAGTCTTTGCTGGAGATAATGGAGTATAAATATAAAACAAATTGAATCATTAGCATTATCTAGAGCCTAGATAATAGTACCTTAACAAGATGAATTTGACTCTTTCTTGTCATACTAGGATACACTTCCAGCAACAAGTGGTTGGAAGCACTGGGTCTCCAGGGTCTTACTCCTGCCTTACAAAGACTCTTACTCGTATCTTAGGCTGGCCTTTATTAGTAATCAGATGCATCTGTAATTTTAGAGATCCAGTGAAATGTCTGGATTTTATTAGCTGGGAAAGCATTTATTGTACTACTGTGAGAGTATAGAGACTTGAGTCTCTAGCTCTTTCATTGTCTAACCGCCACTTTGGCCAAGTCACTTATTCACTGAATCATAGTTTCCTCATCTGCAAAAGAAAGGCTAGACCTAGATGATATCAGATATCTTTCCAGTTCTACAGTGATGTGGCCCTAAGTTCCCAGAGAGTCTTGAACTCAGTGGAGAGCTTCAGTTTGCGATGTGTTCAACACTAACAGAAGGAGAAGCCACAGTAATTGGCACTGTGGGGAAAGGGTGTAGAGAGGAGGCCCAGGGAGGCTTCTTTTGGAGATTTTTCTGGGATTAGTTCAGATTGAGCTCCCTTCAGTGGTTATGTTTATGGACAGTCTAGTGACCTTTAAACTGGGAATGGTGGAGTGAGTAGAGGATGATACTAAGGACCTGCTCAGCACTTTGGTGGTCCTGAAAATATCAGTTGGGACTAAAAAGGTGTGTTCGGATAAGTTACTTGGTAGCTAGGTTATTTGTATACTAAACTTTTCTGATTGCCAAAGTGGAATAAAGAAAAGAAATGAAAAGAGAACGGATCATATTAGAAAAGAATCTGGTCAAGACTGGAAGGAACAATCATTAGAGAAAGTAATTTATGTGATTGGGTTATATTTATGTGATTTTATGAAACTTCAAGGAATATGATTTTTACCTGGAACCAAATATGCCCCAGAGGACTCAGGCCAACTAGGAATCCACTTTTGGTACTTTTGTGAAGCCACTAGAGGAAAAGACAAATACGTTCTTACTATTTTATTAACTGAAGTTTCAGGGGACATTCAGAACTAGTTTTGTCCCCTTTATAAAGCTGAAGTCGGTTTAATTTATATATAACTTCTTATAAAATTGAGAATGATTGATGTGTTAAATTTAAAAGTATAGCTTAATCAGATAATAGTAATAAGTTTACTAATAATTTATTTAATTTTTAACAAGTTGCCCCTGCTTTTATCTCTAATGATCCTCTTACCACATGCTTTTATCTGTTTTTTAATTGCCATCCATATCTGAATTCGTTTTTTTTAACATTCTTTTATTGAGTAATAGTCATTTTACAATGTTGTGTCAAATTCCAGTGTAGAGCACAATTTTTCAGTTATACACGAACATACATATATTCAATGTCGTTTTTTTTTTGCTGTGAGCTACCACAAGATCTTGTATATATTTCCCTGTTTATACAGTATAATCTTGTTTATCTATTCTACATTTTGAAATCCCAGCATATCTGAATTCTTAAATCTTTTTTTTTTCTTATCCGACTTTATTCCCTGAATCCACGCTCTTGTTTTCATCCTGCGCTAACATCTGTATCTGGGTGTTGACCAGGCACTTGAAACTCCTCCTAATAAAAGTGAAATTCATCTCCTTTTCCCACAGGCCTGTTCTTCTTCCTTGTATTTCTGTGACTGTCACGGCCATCTGCTCAGTTGCCAATGTTAAAAACCTCAGAGTCATTCTTGATCCTCCCGTCTGTCGTATCCAATTGGCCATCAGATTCTTTATTTTCCCTCTTTCTGTTCTACCCTTTTATTACTGTCCTCCCTACTGTTGTTATGTTTCAAGCCTTCATCATTTCCTGCCTTGGTTGTTGTAGCGACCTTAAAAAAAAATTCTTTCATAAGTGGAAAAAAGTTAATATATTTTCATTGTATGAAATGTTGAAAACAAAAAAACTAGATGAAACAAATTCACCCATAGTTCTGGAATATTCACTGTTGACATTTTGGTCTCTTTTTTCATGTATATTATTTCTTACATAATTGAGGTAATTCTGTGTGTTCTTTTCTCTATCTTTTCCTCTTATTGTCCTGTTCTCATGTTTTTAATAACTTTTTTTTTTAATGGAAGTACTGGGGATTGAACCCAGGTTTTCATGTATGCTAAGCATGTGCTCTACTACTGAGCTATACCCACCTCCCCATAATACTTTTAATAGTTGCTAAGTATTCATTTATAAAGTAATAGCCTGGCAGCTGATTTGCAGTCTGCCTTCTCATTTTTTTCCACTTTACTCATCAATTCAATAAATATTTGAATGTCTTCTATGTACCCTATAGCTTCTGAAGTGATATCTTCTAAACGTAAATATGATGATGATACTCCCTGCTTAAAATTCTGGAGTGTCTCAGAGGCAGTTTAACACAGTGAGAGTGGACTCCCTTGGTTCAGATAGCACCTTTATCATTTTTTTGATTTATGACTCTAGGCCTTTCTAAGCCTCAGTCTCTTTGTCTATAAAGTTGGGATAATAATAATATCTACATTATAGAGTTGTTCTAAAGATTGTTTAAAAAAACACGTAGAATTAGCACTTTGCATATAAGTGCTCAATAAAGATGCGTCATCAACTATAACAATTCAGCTTTTATCTATTTTATTTATATAATTTTCAAGCAAGGTTTTATTTGAGCAAAGGATGTCACTGATTTTAAAAAATCAACCAAAATAAAAACTTGAAAATTTCATGTCTATAATGCCTTGTATAATATTTTCAACAGACACGTTCTGTCTTCTGAACAGCTTCTGAGGAAGAGAACTCATTGCCCGATGGGGAACCTTAACAAAAGTTTAAAGAATAAACATGTACTGAAAATCCATATTTCTAGTGGTTCCCAAATTTTGCTATATATTAGAATCACCTGGGATTTTTACAAAATACTGTTGCCTGCTTCCCATCTCCAAGCATTCTGATTTAAGTGGTTTAAGATATGACCTGGGCACAGAGATTTTTAAGTTTCCTAGGTGATTCTTCTGTGCAGCCAAGTTTGGGTACCACTACTATATTCCCTTATGTATGTAGAGGGACCAGAGTCTTCAAGCAGAAGTGTTTGGACTTTGTCCTTGTTCCTGTATTGAATTTTATTCTTTGTTTATCCATTTCTTTTCTTACTAAATTTATTGTTATTAAAAACTGGAGCTTGAGTTTCTGAAAATAGTACAAATGGGCTACTCCTTCTTAGAAAGACAAGTTTCATTAGTGCATATATCTTAGGATTTTTGAAGAACTTGGTATAGGGAAGAACACGTGAAAGGTGAGAAGACACCTAGAAGTTTGTCATCACTAATTACCATGGAATTGAATTCTTTCCTTGCTTCTGAAATTCTTAGGCAAAAATCTCTGCTTTTGCCTTTGGTTTTCTTTCTTGTTTCTCTTTTTTAAATAAATGAATTGAGGACACAAGCATTATCTCTGTAGCTGACTGTTCTTTGACTTGATAAGTTGTTTTTCCTTCTTGTTGTTTTGAAATCATAAGGTCATCTTGGTCTGTATCTTTATAAATGGCAGAAGATGATCCAGTTGTTATTTGAATATTTAAATAGCTTTAGTGTTTTCAAATAAAGTGAGAAGAAGGGCAGTGATTATAAAGTTCATTCTTTTATATTCTGTTTGTCATTTGAAATTTTAAAAGGTTAAGGAATTACTAACCTTGCCCTTTTCAAAATTTAAGCTCCTTTGAATAGTAATGCTTGAAATGGAACTAGTTAATGAAGGCTGTTAACTAAAGGAAATCTTTAGTATAACTAATTAGTCTAAGGAAACCATATATGGAGGACAGTACACATTTATGTTGATATGTTTGTTAAGGTGTTAAGTATATTCCAAAGGTGATACTTTGAATTGTTTTGTTGAATATCTAGCTTTGAAAGTAAATTTAATCTCAGACTTTCTTTTACTGTTATATTCTTTCCCTCCCAGTGGCAGCATGGAACCTGCATTTCATAGAGGAGATCTTCTCTTTCTAACAAATCGAGTTGAAGATCCCATACGAGTGGGAGAAATTGTTGTTTTTAGGATAGAAGGAAGAGAGATTCCTATAGTTCACCGAGTCTTGAAGATTCATGAAAAGTATGTGCAAACTGTATTTTCTCTATTTTAAAATATTTTTAAGTTTTAGTGTTTACAGTATTTAATTTTGATAGCCTAAAAATTAAGAAAGAGTGGAGAACTCCTAGGTCCTTCTTCTGATCTATTTTTATCAATGTCTGAAAGTTTGGTGAACATTTGGAAAATTAAATACTTATTTATTAATTCATTTATTTCCCTGAAGGTGTTTCTTGGTTCCTTTCTACTTCTTAACCAGATCAGTAACCTTGTATATAACCCCAGAAAAAACATGACGTAAAGATTGACCACAGTAGAGTCTTCTCATAGAATTGATGAGGTAGCCCTAATCTTTAAAAAAAAACAAACAAAAAAACCCAACCCTTTAAGGCAATCTCACAGACATTTCAAATAAGAATCAATATATCAACTTTTTCTAATTCCAAAGAAAATTTATTAAATCTTAGTTATTCTTATAAATACAGATTCTTGCATTTTATAATTGAAAAGGACATATGGAAAGTCTTTAGAATCTGCTACGGTAGAGGTGTGCATAACAATGAGCAAAAGATGTCACATCTCTGGGTCTCAGTTTCCCTGTCTGTAATGGAAAGAGGTTTAGGAAGATGAATTATAAGATCTCTTGGTTCTAAGCCTGTGCTTCCCCTGTGCAACTACATATTCCTCACCCTACTCTTCCAAATCTATAATATTTCTAATTAAGGAGAACTTTCAGAAGGGAAGGAAAGAAAGAAATGAAGGACAAGGGTATGTCCTGAAGGACACACAGGGAAGTGAGACAATGGGATTGATGTCAGTTCTTGAGTATGCGGAAGCCCTAAATAAATGCTCATACTTACAACCCTCTCAAGTAGTCTATTTTTCCCACTTACAGAAGAGGGAACTGTCAACTGTTGCTTTTTGAAAGTCCCTGTAAACATTCTAGCTTAGCTTTCTTCATTGATAAAATAAAGATCTGACTGCTCTTTTTTTCCCCCCAGACTTCAGTATATTGAAAGATTGTAATTTTTAAATAACATTCTATTGTTGACTAATAAGGAATAACTTAGTTCTTTTTAGGATTGTGAAGGTTTATTCAGTACAGATAGTGTTTGCCAGATTCTTAAAGTGGATTTGTATTGTTTGTTCTCAGCACTGCCTGTTGTGAACAAAGCAGAACCAATTTTTCCCTTATTTATCAGAGAAAGTCAAATTAAACCCAAGTTCTGTTTTGGGTAGAGCAGAAGTTGTTCATTTTTACAGGTGATCCTTTGAAATTGAGTTTTTATTTTGAAATAGTTATCTTGTTTCAGGGCAGGTTCATTGACAGATACTGTCTCAGTTACAGATTCCTTAAATTTTGAGAATAATTTTTAACAGAATTCCAAATACTTAAATATGTATGGTTGTTTGTAATCTGAGGTTATCAGTCATTTACTTTAGACACTTGAGGTGCCTTCAGTTTGCAGGCTGTTTAGATAACAGATCCTATTAATCTTCCAAAGTTTCCAGCTTCCTTTTTTCTTTTGAGGAGACTAAAATAGCTGGTTGTAGTAATCATTTGATTTAATAGTATTAACATTGTTCTTAAATATGAGACCAAATGACAACCAAAATGGATTAAGTTTTTGTAATAAATGTGTCTTGAACATTTTCAACCTTGTTTTTGCACTATTCATTCTTTTTTTTATCTGAACCTTGTTTTAATAAATAAAATCCTGAGCTTTAAGAAGAATAGAGGTGGGAATTATCCAACTGACTTCTTTCTTGTCTCATTCCTCCTTTCCTTCTCCATCTGTTTCTGTGTAACTTCGTAAATTTGTAAATACAGTATAAAGCTCTTTTTTCATATGTTGAATTTCCATCATGTTTGTTTTTGCTTTTTTTTATTTACTTTTTTTTCTACTTTTACATTTTTCTTTTTCTTTTCTTTTTTAAATTGAAGTATAGTTGATTTACAATGTTGTGTTTCTGGTGTACAACGTAGTGACTCAGTTTTACATATAAATATGAATATATATATTTCCTTTCCTATTTTTTTATCATAGGCTATTATAAGCTAGTGAATATAGTTCCCTGTGCTATACAGTAGGACCGTGTTGTTTATTTTATATATAGGAATATCTGTGAATCCCAAATATGTAGTAGTTTGTATCTGCTGATTCCCATCTCCCATTTTATCCCTCCTTACTTTCTTCCCTCACTACCTGTAACCATAAGTTTATTTTCTATGTCTATGAGTCTGTTTCTGCTTTGTAAATAAATTCATTTGTCATTTTTTATTAAAGATTACACATATAAGTGATAACATATGGTATTTTTCTTTCTCTTTCTGGCTTACTTCACTTAGTATGATAATTTATAGGCCCATCCATGTTGCTACAAATGGCATTATTTTGCTCTTTGTTATGGCTGAGTCATATTCGGGGGGGGGGGTGTATACACCAAAACTTCTTTATCCAATCATCTGTCTGGACATTTAAGTTGTTTCCATGTCTTAGCTGTTATAAATAATGCTACTGTGAACACTAGGGTGCAAGTATCTTTCTGAAATAGTTTGAATCTCCATCTTATGAACATTCTTATTACATGTATATTCTTACATATGATGCTGTATAAAATTGGAAAATATAGAAAACAAAATCACATATAATTCTAGAATCCAGAGATAAAATATTAAAATTGGAATTATTTCTCTTTGTCTTATAAAAATATACCCCACCGCCATGTAATACTAGGATCTACTCAGTACTATTTTGTAATATGATTACCTAATGAGCATATGGTAGAATATACCTGATATTACCACATATGCAAAGAACCCCTGAACTAAAGATCAACTTGCCAAGTACTGCTTAATATGAGGGTACTGGGTCCATGAATTTGAATCTGTTCTTTGTGCCTAGTCCTGCCTGTTCTCCAGTTGAGACTAATTATGTGTACTGATCTATATGACTAGGCAGTGGAAAAAGGCATGTAATCTAGGGCTTCTCTCTAGTGCGCTACTGAGCTCAGGCAAAATCCTCTTATCAGAAACATTAAGAAACTTCCAGTATTTGGGGACAATAGTAAATAGTGAGAAAGTGGCTGGCATTGTTTTTTAAAAAGGCTTAACTATGTCCTGCAGTTACTGTAGTTACTAATATATTTTTAATTAAGTTTTTTAAAAAAGGAAAATTATTATTCCTCACTCCTACATGAGGGCTATGTATGCAGGCAAGTTTATATGTACTATGGCAAACAGCAAAAAATGTCTTTGTTCTCCCCTCACCTGTTTCTAATTTTCCATTTTCTTCCAAAAGAGATGAGTTAGGAAAGAGCTAGAAGATAGTGAAGTTTGTTTTTTAATTTAAAAGGTGAGCTAGCTATTCAGCGTTATCAGTTGACTTAATTCTCTTGGGTAGCTCGTCATATTAACCTGTTAGTCAGCCATTCTTAATATTTACTTTTTTGCCACATATAAACTCTTACTTTATCTTACTTTGTAGCCTACTCTAATATGTATTTAGTAAGTGCAGCCTATAGGAAGTATTATAATTGGATGAAATTGAATAGTGGCATATGATCAAGTATTTGGAAGGAGAAATTTCACCATTGGGTGACATAGTCCTTAGCTTTGCTCTTTTCTGTACAGATAGATACATCATTTTGTACCCGTTTGGCTCTTAGGGGTCTTTGTTATCTTATCTAAGCAATTATTCCCTCCTGACATCACAGTATTGTGATGCTTGAAGTAAACTGTAAGTGTTTTGAGCTCCTTGGAGATTGATAATATTAAATATTTGGTCCCTGTGCTAGCAAGGGAAAAGCCCCATATAAATGTTGTCAGTCAGGATTTGGGGCCTATGGGTTGTGAAGTGCTGGATTAGGTCTTTATAGCAGGCTTAATAGGAGCTGGCTACCACAAGAGACTATTTCTTGCACTATTAAGTAAATGAAAGAAAGCTATGTTTTTCAAACAGTTGTGGTGGTCTCTTCTGATTACATCCCAGAGCGGGGAAATTGGGTTTGTTTGTTTGTTTTGTTGGCAAACCATGTCTTTGGAAATAGCCCAGATCTCTTGTAGCATCCCTTTCCTTTCATGGGGAGAGTCCCATTTTCCACTTTTTCTCTCCTCATATTTGATTTTATTTCTCTGCCTCTGTGGGGTTGCTGTTACTTCATGGTTGAATTGACTCTTCCTTCCTGCTGCTCCCGATTTTCACTCTTGGAGCTAGCCCCCCTCTTGGCATCTGCCCTCTTTTACCCTCCAGGATTTTTCAGACGTTCTTTCATTTGCTGAGTTGTCAGCTGCAGATTATTTCTCTGTGTATATTTGCATTTTTTCTAATTGGAATCTCATTTTTAATGAGACTGTTGCACTTGACTGTTTTTAGTGTTTGCAACACCTCCCAATTTAGTTTTATCTGCAGATGATTTAGTGTCTAGTGAGCTAGTTTCTGGCTTAGAATCTAAGTAGATATTATTCAATAGGAGTTGAAGCTATTTTTCTTCTTTCTAGTATAGTGGTTAACCCAAACTCACTTGAATTAATTTTAAGATAGTCTTTATCAACTGTAATTTTTGCTTTCAGTTAAATTTTGAAATTACTAGAAGCCTCGTGGTTCTTTAGTAGAATTAAACTAATAGTTATCGGATTAAGTAAGATACTGTTTCCATACATCCTGGCAGGTAAAAGTAGTGTATATTTGTTGGAGAAAAAATTAGAAGCTAAAGGTAAGCTAAAAGAAAGCCATAGGTAGCTGCTATTTACACCTTAGTCTATCATTTTAGATCTTGTTTAATGTCTTTCTTTTTTGCTTTAATTTTTTAAATACGGGGAATTTATAACATGCACAAAAGTAGACAAAACAGTATAATGAATTTCCATGTACCAATCACCCAGTCCCAATAATTATTAATACATGGTCAATTCTGCCCCACCTACACTACCACCTCTTCTCATTCTCCTACTTGTACTATTTTGAGTCAAATCCTAGATATCATGTGATATCATATGTAAATATTTCAGTAAATATCTAGAAAACATAACCAATGAGCCTTTAAATAAAATATAACTACAGTTAGCTTGCTTACACCTTAAAAAAATGACCAATCATTCCTTTTTGACATTAGGTTTCCAATCTTTTTAAAAAAATTTTTTTTGTGGGGGTAATAATTAGGTTTGTTTGTTTGTCTTAATGGAGGTACTGGGGTTTGAATCCAGGACCTCGTGCATGCTAAGCATGTGCTCTTCAACTGATCTTATACCCTGCCCCCCAAGTTTCCAATCTTTGTTCAAATTCCCAGTTAATATCAACTTTTTTTTTTAACAGTTTATTTGGATCTAGAATCAAATAAGATCCTCAGTTGCAACTGGTTAATACGACTTTTTAATATCTTATTTAATCTGTAAATTACTTCTCTTTCTTTATTCCTTGCAACTTACTGGTTGAAGAAGCTGTATCATCCTATAGTTCTGTAGTCTTCGTTTTGCCAATTATATCCTATGGGGTGCTTTAATGTGTTTCTTTGTTCTTTGTATTTCCAGAAGATTGATTGTGTTTATTTTAATATAAAAATGAAATTATACTGTATGTGCTATTTTGTAATATTTTTTCACTTAATAAAATTTGTATGATTTTTGGATGTCATTAGATATTCTTCGATATCATCATCCTTAATGCTTGCATAGTATTTCAACTCCTGTTAGACTTTTCACTTGTTTCCAGTTTTTCCCTAGTATAAACAGTATAGCTGTGAACATCCTTTTAGCTAAAGAATTATTTTGCTATTGGGAATGATGATAAAATTCCACAGTTCCACAGATATTTTCAGTTAACAAGAACAAATTTTGTGCTTTCAGGTGGCATGACAGTATTTGATATCTTGGGTTTCCCTTACTCTTTTAAGGCAAAATGGACATATCAAGTTTTTGACCAAAGGAGATAACAATGCGGTTGATGACCGAGGCCTCTATAAACAAGGACAACACTGGCTAGAGAAAAAGGATGTTGTGGGGAGAGCAAGGGGGTAAGTATAGAGGGGAGCATTTAAGGAGCTTTTCATGTCACTTGAAAATGACTTTCTTGATCATATTGTCTGATCATATACATATGAATATAATAGCGTGGTCCTGGTTCTACCAAGTCACCTGTGTCCTTTGAAAAAGTACGCTTCTTAAAATGCATCTAAAACTAAAGGTTTAGTGCTCCAGAGGGGAGGATATGGGGTGCTGTACAAGAATAGGATATTAGCAATAAGGATGAATTGGAGTGATTATTTAAAAACTCATTTGTTTATTTAATTCATTTAAGAAATGTTATTGGGCATCTTCCATGTCCTCTAATGTCTATACTGTGCTAGGCTCTGGGAATCCAGAGCAGTATGTTTTTTTCTTTTTGAGAGGCTAGGGGGAGGTAGTTAGGTTTATTTACTTATGTATTTTTAACGGAGGTACTGGCGATTGAACCCAGGACCTTGTGCATGCTACGCATGCACTCTGCCACTGAGCTATACCCTCCCGCAAAGAGCAGTATTAATTCTGCTTCTTGAAACTTACATTTCTTAAGTATTTACTGAGTCAGCGACTTACAAAGTGTTCATCTAGATTAATTTTATCATGTTAATTTATTCCATACTGCTTTATTTCTAGATTTGAAATTACTGGGGTTAAGTGAAATTTTAAAGTTATATTAAGCCTGTTTATTTCAGATTTTATCAGGAGAACAGATCAGTGGAGGACAGGAATTGTAAGTTACTGGTATGAGGAAGTATGGGATTATTACTACCTTCATGTTATTAATAGTATTAACAATAACTCACATTTACTAGGGCTATGTGTCAGAAACTCATTTTAAGTGCTTTATAAGTATTACCTCATTTTAACCTCAGAACAACCCTAATATTTCCATTCTACAGATGAGGAAACACGTGTTAGTTTGCTTATCTAAGGTCACACTGGTGATGGTAAGTGGCTGGCTGACTCCAGAGTGCACTCTCTTAACCATCACACCAGAACTACTGGCGTAACATTTCTGAGATGGGTAACTGCTTGTTCTCACTATTTAGGATGCCTCATGGCACTCTTAACCGCTGTCAGAACATCTGTTCCTTCTGACCTAGAATAGTCACTGTGGATTCAATGATTCCACTAGCAGACAGGCCACCACACTGAGGAACTATGTTCCCATAAAGAAATAAATTCAAATTATTAAGTGAAAGCTGTCTCAGTTACAGCATAAGAGATATTAAGTTTGGGGCCAGAGAGATCAGATCAGAAGAAGCACCCATGTGTTTTGTCTTCTGCAGAGCTGGTTTTTTGTGCATGCCTCCAATTCAAGGGAATTTCTTTTCCTATGATGGAGCTAACTATACTTTTATAATTCAAATTAGATCTTCAGTGCTTCTCAGAAGTCATAGTTCCCCTTTCCCTCAGTTCCCAAGGTGCTGCTAATATCATCTCTTAGAGTCTTTTCTTCCTTTAATCTGTGTACAAATGTACAGATTCCTGTAGAAACATAAGGAAATAACAGTCATCAAAAAACAGTCACCTCTCTCCATCTCCTCCCCCTCCATAAATATTTTAATTTTTTATGTTCTTTTAATGTTTATATATAAATATGCAGATCTTAATAGACATGTGTGTATACATAGTACATAAACACATTTTGTGTATGGGGGGAGAATGGTCACATTACTTATAACCTCTTTTTCATTCCCCAAAGTTATCAATATCTTTACAAATCAGAAGCTTTATTTCCGTGTCATTATTTTCAAAGCTTTATGGTATTCTATTGTTTGAAAAGACCATATTTATTTAGCCAGTCTCCTATTATTGGATGCCTTGATTTTTTTTTATTGTGAACAGTGTTATGATGAGCATTCCTATTAAATTTATCTTAATGCCTCTGCCTAATCATTTCTTCATAGTAAATTCTTAGAAGTAGAATTACCAGGTAAAACATAAGCAATATTTTAAGGCTTTTGACAAGTTTTGCCATACAGTTTCATTTATACTCCTACAAGTATGATAGAGTGTCCCTTTAATCTGGATCTTGATTTGCAGGTGTTTAATGCAGCTCTGTCTGCTCACTCTAGCCCCATTTGGGTAAAAAATGTATCATCCTATGAAAGGGTAGAGGCTTTCTTCTACTCAGGTAACTTGACTTTATGAAGAATTTTTGAAAAATCCCAGACTGTATGCAGTGTTATTTCTAAAATCCCAACATTAAAAATATAGGCCTTTTTCAGGCTTTCATTTAACAAAACAAATGTTATAGCCTGGTACTCTCTGAATTAAGTAACTTTCCATGAAGTATAAACATCTAAGACATGAACAGCAGGAACACAGAATCTTAACTGTACAGATGCACACTCTGTTGATTATATCATCACCTCCTTTTGTGGAAATTGTATTTATAAAATGCTAAACTATATTTCGGGGTAGGGATTTTTTGTAGACCAGTCTATGACTGTGGTATGGGTGTCTTTATGCATTAAAATTTTTTTTTGTTTTCAAACAGCTGCACACTGAAAAATTTTACACTGAGACCTAAGGCCCTAAATAAAAATGAGTTTAAAAAATTTTTATTGAGATATAATTCACATATATTGGGATATAAAATTTACTGTTTTGAAGTGTACAGTATAGTGGGTTTTATTACATTCACAAGGTTGTAAAACTGTCACCACTATTTAATTCCAGAATATTTCCACATCCCAGAAAGAAAACTGTGTACTCATTTGCAGTCACTCTCCATCCCCTTCTTTCTGCGGCTCCTGGCAACCACTAATCTACTTTCTGTCTCTATGGATTGCCTGTTCTGGACACTTTATATAAACAGAATCTTACAATATGTGTTCTTTTGTATCTGGCTTCTTTCACCTAAATAATATTTTCAAGGTTCATTCATGTTGTTGCATGTAATAAAAACAATTTCAGAAAATGAAGCTAATACTGAGCCAACTAAGTATATAACAGGGGTGATTCTAAATTCAGGAAGTTGAAAAACACAAGAGAAACTGTTAGTCAAAGAAGAGTTGAAAGCAACAGGAGAAAACGACGAAAGCCTAGCAGGAGATCAGGGAATAGAGAAATACTGATAATGAAAAGAGGAATAAAAATGAAGGGGCAGAGTAATTGAGCTCTATTGACTGAAGTCAGTTTTATGGAGCAGGCTTTTTTTATTTTTTTTTGGAGGAGGCTTTTAAAACATACTTTTTACTTAACTTGTAACAGGTCATTCTCGGCTGGAAACAGTGATCCTTTTTAAATCAACTACCGGGGTCCACACTTCCTACACGTAGACTCCTTGTGACAACTGACAAAGTTATTTTCTCCCCAAACATCGGCAGATAGTTCTTCCTTCTGAGGCTCCTTCCTTAGCAGCGTCTTTGATCCCAAGAGCTCCAAGGGACATGTACTTATCCATACTCGGCACAGGCTGGTGTTGAAGTTGGCTTTGTGGATGGCATTTGTTTTACTTATTTTAAACCTCTGCTTATTATCAACTCTGCTTTAACAGAGTTTATCTGAACAGCATAGGAAAAAAGTGCAGCTGATTTGAATTTAAGACGACTGATGGAAAAAAAAAAAAGGCGACTGACGACAGCAGCGTTAGGCACTTGATTAGCAGCTCTTGGCTCTCTGTCCGTGGAGGGAAGCAGTGGTACAGATGATTAAATCTTTTGTTTGACTTTGCACTGCCGGTCATATTCTGGCAAACTTAATGTTTTGCTTATATTACTCCCAAAGATCTAGTTGCTTCTATTTCACTATGGTGGGCAAGGAAAAACCACCTTAGGGGAAAAAATGTTTCTGTGGATAACCCATAAGACTGTAAGATCACTGTAGTTTTTTGAGCATAGATATTATTGCATGGAGGTCACAGTGAAAGTCTTTACCCATGAGAATAGCTGCTGATTGACCACCAGTCCAGAATTAGCAGCTTCATGTTGTTTTAATAGAAGTCACACAGATGCTTTAAAAACTTTTAATCTGCGTTTTACTGTGAGGCATTTGCCTTTACATTCTTAAGTTAGATGATATTCCTTCACTGCTTTTATGTAGATGTTATAAATGAAAAAAATAATTATTGCATGAAAAAGAAAAAATATGTACATTGAAAATATGGAAAACCTGTATCCTCTCTCCTAGAGCTTAGCTATGCTGTTCTGTAGTGACTGTTGCTTTTTATCTCTTAAGGGTCCCAGGGGTTGAAACTGAAGTATGGGCCCCCAAAGGGGATATTATTTGTCACTACACCTCACTTGCTAGAACTGTGCTTCTTGTATGTTAGTGTGCAGAAGTGTCATTTGGGTCCCACCTTCGAGAGGTGCTCTGACTCAGTAAGTCTGGGAAGATAGAGCAATCTTCATTTTTAACAAGATGCCCAAGTGATTCTCACAATGGAGGTGTAGATTTTAAGAAATATTAACTTATGAGAATGGGAGTTTGGGTACGGGGGAAGAGAGAGATGGGTCTAGGTAAGGCTGCCAGAAGGGAGAGGAGCAGGATGGGGTGAGGACAGGAGACAGGTAGTACGAGGAGTTCTTAAAAAGAAGTAAAATCCACCAAAGATAAAATTTCTGTTTTTCTCTTTTTTCAAGAGTGCCTAAAGCTTTGACAGTAGAGGTGTTACATAGGAGGTAATTTCTGTTTGTGTGCCTTTGGTGTGTGCCAAGGTTGTGGATGCTCTGAAAAGAAAGTGTCTGGGCTGTTTTAAAGTATGCAAAGTTCAGTCTCCATTTCAGCCCAATCTCCCTCCTCTGGGACAGGCTCTAGGACAGTACCACCTAGTCCAGTCTGAAGTCCAGCAGTGGAAGAGGAAGAAAAGAAAAGTTATACAATTTTAACTGCTATTTCCTCTCACATCTCTTTCTCCCCTGCATTATTATATGGTTGAAGAGTCTTGCTTTGAGGGAGAATTGAAGTCCTGGGAGAAAATGAGAGTCCCAAAGGAAAAAGACGAGGCCTGAACATTCCAGCATTCAAGCAGGCAGTATTTACTGGATGCCTGCTGTGTGCCAAGTGTTATATTTGGTCTTGAAGATACAATACGGAACAGAACTGACATGGTTTCTGCCCTTAGGGTCTAGTAGGGGAGACAGACACTATACAGCTAGTTGAGCAATTAATTATGTAATTAAACTCCAGGTAAAGACTTCAAAGGAAATATATCAGGTGCTATGAGATTATTTAACAAGTGATTTTTACCTCGTTTGAGGGGACAGACTTTAGGGACAAGAGGAAAGCAAGAACTAGTGAAAACAAACAAAAGTATAGCAGCCAAGAGGCAGATGGAGAAAGAGACTTCTGGTGTGTTACAGAAACCACGGAGAAAGATTTCATGGGCAAGTTTCTGGTCATGGAAGTCAAATGCTGCAGAGATGAAAAGGAAGATAGCTGAGACTCATCTGCATACAGTGATTTAAACTGTTCCAGAGCAGTCTGAGAGAGCCAAAGCCAGATTACAGGTGGTTAAAAAATAAGAGGGTGGTGAAATCTTAAGTACTATAATAGAGCTATTACACTCACTTTTTGGATACTTAATATGAAGTACCTTGTAATGTTCTGGCTGTGTTTGCCTTGTCTCCCCAACTAGATCAACAGCTCCCGGAATTTATGACAACAAACCCAGGCCTTAGCCCCAGATCCGCACGTAGTGTTAAGAGTCACTGACTAGAGACCTGAGACCTTGGATCTGGTACTGGTTCCGCCACACAGAAGCCACATACCTTGGGCATGAGCAGTTGTTTCCTCATCTATAAAATGGTGATATCCTTAACTTCCCTATCACATGGGCTGTTGAAAGGATCTAAAAAGATAGTATATGCAAATGGACTTTGTAAGCTGAAAATTAGTGTTCTATGGAAAACATTGAGAGTGTTCATTAAATGATAACAGCCTCTTAGGAAGTTCTGTGATGATCAGTTTGTTTGTTTGTTTGTTTGTTTAGATTTGTTCCTTATATTGGGATTGTGACGATCCTCATGAATGACTATCCTAAATTTAAGGTAAGATCTGTACTATATATTTCATTAATTTTGGAAACTATTAAATGGGTTACAGTTAAATGATGGAAGACTAAATTGGCTAGTTTAGTGATTTATCAGTTACAAAGGCCAGTTTGTTAATTAACTCTGAGGATTTGTGAATTTTTAAAAGCTTCTCTAACTTGGGGTTCTGTGTTTATTTTCTAGTATGGAGTACTCTTTTTGCTGGGTTTATTTGTGCTGGTCCATCGTGAGTAAGAAGTCTACCTTGCTGTTCCTGGAAGATGCTGTACTTTTTGTTACTGAATGTTTGGAGTAGATAACGATCTGTGGTTGGTGGATGGCGAACACACATGTTGGCGCTTCTTGGTAGCACTGGTTTGCATTAGTTTATGTTTCCACGCCAGAGTACGTGTGGGTGGGTGCATGTGCACCACAGCGTGCACTCGAGGGGACTTTCAGTCACAGAATTTCATATGTTGTCATTGTCACACTTTCGCATTTTTGTACATCAGTGAATTTTTTATATTAAAAGGTTGAGCCAAAGCCCCCAGTGTTTGTATTTTGAAGCCAAGCTTCACTTCTAAAGTGCCTACAGAGTTCTGTAAATGAAAATGCAGCTCTGCACGAGTTTGGAACTGCCATTCCTCCTTATAATGGGAATGGCATATCCCGAGGTGGTCGTAGTCTTAACTTTTCAAAATTTTAAATAAAGGACTTTGCATATTGAACCCCTTATCCCTGACTTGTGTTTGTCGGGAAAGCTGAAATTTGCTTTCCTGTGCTGGCTTAGTACCGCTTGGGAAGGTAAAGGCTTCAGACAGTTCTTCAGCCAAGAAGTTTGTCCTAACACTAACAACTGGCGTTTGTTTGTTTGTCTTGTTTTTGTTTTAGTGAAGCAAACATAGCAATTGATGTTCGTAGGAAATCTCTTTGTCTTAAAATTGACTCTTCAATAGGGTATGACTCAGATACACATAAACCCAGCTAGTTGCTGAGAGGTTCAGAAAATCTCAGTTTGCTTAGACTCATAACCTTTTCTACACCTGAGACATTCTCAGCCCTTTCTACAAGATGTCAGTGAATTTTAGCATCTGGGGGAGGCATGAGAAAGGTGCTGGAGGGCAAGCATGCTGCTTGTTTTCTTTAAACTCTTAATTTGCCTAACCTGTTCTTGTAAGTGCCTGGCTTTGCTTTTCTCTAATGCAGACTTAAAGAAAGCAAGGTTCAAAGTAGTAAAGGCAAAGCCCAGTTGTGTTTTTCTCCTTTTAATATTGAGGCAGTTAGGGAAATAGGGAGTTGGGGGGGTCAGTTGATGCGTTTTAAGCACAAAATACTCTTAATCCTTTCTGTTCTCTTTTTGTATTACTGTGAAATCTCAAAGTAAGCAAGTTTTCTATGTTGGGCTCAATGAATGGTTTCTATAATTTGTTCAGCTGAGGTGGAAATCAGTCCATACTTTAATGCTAATGGAACGAGAAGAGGGACAATTAATCTTCTGAAGCCTTCCCCTGTAGAGAACAGTGCCATCCTCAATCCATTATCTAGGATGTGGGCTCTTAATGCTATCAACAGAGTATGAAACTTGGCAACTTACTGCTAACAAGTACTTCTTTGAACTTGTCTTTAAGGCTCATGTAGTACCTTTTCCTCCCAGTCACCTGCAGAGGATGGGGTTAACTGCTCGGCCTGTTCAGTGCCCTGGCTCTGTTTTTGTACCAGCCTTTCTAGACCACTCCAGGGGAGAAGTAGTGTGCTCTGCTGCCAAAGGTTGGGATCCCAAAGTTCCTTGTGGTCCCAGCTTGCCTGAGTATAAACATCCTTGTACTTGTACTTGTAGTCTCAGCTATCCAGATTTCTCCTCCTTATATACTTAGGGGAAGGAAAGTGTCAATATTTTCTTCACTGGCATATTTTCAAACTCAGTTTTGTGAAATTATTGTTTTTACTCCTTTGCTGGATGCTCTAGTTTGAAGCAACAGCTCAATTCCTCTGGAAAGATCATTTAAAAATATTTAGATCATTTAAAATATTTGACTCGCTCTAACAGCCAAAAATGAAAAGATTATTTGTGGAGAGAAGTGATCTGTTCTCAGTTTTCATATTTTCTAATTTAGTGCTAACACGTAAGACTTAAAACTGGTAGATTTTATTAGTAAATACAATGTATTTTAAAAGCTCTTTGCAAATGTAAGAAATGCCAGAGATGTTTAATTTGGTGTTTCAATGAAATTATAAGCTCTTTGAGATTTGGCGGGTCAAGTAAAAAGTTAAGAGGGTTTAACCGTTGTGAGTGAAGGGAATTGAAGAGGATGAGAATTGATAAAACTTCAAATGCGACTATGATAATGGGGTTATCTGTTGGCTGTTATTAATTCACTCTCTTTAGTCTCTACAAGTTATTTCCAAATGCCTGTCCTTAGTTCTAGTCCCGTGTCTCTCTGTTCCCACTGAACACTTCCAGTTGATTGTCCCATCTTTAAACTTAAGTTAATAGCAATTCCTGCAAACTTCCCCTCTGAATTTCAACTTTTCTTTAAAGGAGTATTCATCTAGATTTTTCATTTTCACACAATATTTAGTCACTTAAAAGCCAACATTTCCCCCTGTCATTCCATTCTCATTGCCATCCCCTGAATCCAGAAACATGCTCAGGGGCACCCTGTTGCTTGGGTGACTTTATGTCCTAGTTTCCCTGTAACGTGCCAGCCTATTTTAGATCATTTCCACCTGGTAGTTCATTTTAGTACCCCTTTTACTTTTGAGAAGTATCTCTTTGAGGCTGTAAGTTTTATGGTAACCATACATATTAGCTACGTGTAAAGTCAGACTTTGAGTTCAGCTGACATGAAGCAGCCTTGTGCTTTACTGCTGTGTTTTCACTTATATTATCTCATACTCTCATTTCTGCTTGTCTGAGTCTCACTTTCTTTACAAAGTTATTTTCTTCCTCTTTCACTCAGTGTCTACAGCCTTACACTATTTGTGTAAGTTTGTGGATATGGGCTCAAGTTCCTCCATCTTCCACGGCAGGAGTCTCATTTTATAGACACTGTACTTTGTTTTCCCAGTCTCATCTAGCAGCATATTCTTTATTTTCCGTATACTCATACATTGGAATCAGAGGCAGTAACTAAGGGTAGCATTATTGTTGTGCTGTTATTCTGGGGCAAAGCATATGAATCACTAAAGTGATTTGTACTTGCCTGTTATTTAGTAAATACATTGTCTTGGTCTTGCCAAATTTGAATCTAAAAACTCCCTATGGTTCCATTTAAAACAGCATGTTCCCTTTCTAGAATTTTTTATGTTAATCTTGTTTTCTTCTTTTTTTGTGTGTATCCTTGTTCTCTTCCTGTGTTCTCTTTCTCGTTGGGAGGAGTATTGGCATTTGTCGTTTTTCTCAGGGAGTCACAGTCTTCTCAGAGAGCATAGGCTTGGAATAAAGGCTCTGTTATCCTTGAGTGCATTTCTTGGTCATTTGCATAAGTGTGTTACCAAGTCCAGATAACCCCAGTCCTAATAACGCATCGTGTGTGGGAACTTCCCCAGGTTCTGAGGGTACCCTTCTTATGACATTCATCACTCTGTTCACCTTAAGAAATTCTAGTTGGCTAAATGGATTGTCCAGCTTTCTCAAGATGCTCCTTAGTTGAGATGGTCTATTCAGGCTTTTTTCTGGCCAAGTATATCTTTGTCACTATTCTCCCTTGCTAGAATGGTAAGTAAGAGCAGAGAGATTTTAGAAATAAAACAGCAAATACGACCTTTCACACTTAATTATGGTGAGTCTAAGTGTAGAAGGAATTCTGTGTAACCAAGAAGTATTAGAGACTAAAATATGCAGAGGTTATCAAAAAATAATGAGAACATTGCCTTCCAAGTCATGGAGCTTTCTAGGCCCTCAGGGCTTTTTCCAGTGTCAGCTCTTAGCACACCCCACTTTCTCGTACCCTTGACACTGGTCTCACTATATAGACATCCATTCTTTGCTTATGCTGGTCTCTGCCTGGAGTGCCTGCTCACTTCTCTACTTGCTAAAGGCTTTCTCATTCGGGAGACTTTTATTGAGCATCTACTCTGCCAGATTTCGGGCTAGGCCCTGGAGATACAAATATGAATCAGATAAGGTCCCTTTTCCACCAAGAACTCTGCCTTAACAGGGGCAATGTGTAAACAAATCTTTCCACGTAGGATCATAAGATGCACAGGGAGCTCAAAGGAGTGTTTTCTAATTCTTGACTAAGCTCTTGAGTGTATAGTGCTTCCTTCTCGGTGCTGCCTTCTCAGTCCTTTGTTCATCGCCCTCAGGATGGCTTGTCTTATGTATGTCCTGCCTCCCAGTTAGCACCTTGAAGGCATTAAGACAAAACTAGCCTGTGATTCATCCTTGTATGTCCCCTAGTTCCCATCACAATGCTTTGCACAGTTTAGATTTATTTATACCCTGTTTTGTTCCAAAAAGGATTTTGAGTGGCTCATAAAGAGACATCTAGTACTATGTTATAAGATATAGAACAGTTGAAGAATTTGGGGTTGAAATAAGTATGGGAGAAAAGGACAAAGTTAGAGGTGAGGTTAATACCTACAAGACACATCAGAAGATTCTGTTTTCTCATGGAGGAGATCTGTAACGTAGGCTGGGACTAATGTAAAGAGGGAAATAATTATTTCTATGCTTCATGGAATGGGCATAAAATGGAAATCTTAAAAGATTTCTGATGATACTTCAAGATCAAAAAATTTCTCTTCTGGGACCTCACTACAAGGGCACTGTGTAATGTTAGGCAATAATCCTTATATTAATTAGTCTAATGGTTTTCATAGAACTGTTTCAGAGAATGTTCCTTCAGTATAGGTATAGTTAAGGCAATTTCTGCAGAGAGCTGCCTCACCAAAGATCAGCTACCAATCTAATCAGCCAGGAACCTTCAGTTAGTTTTCCTATAGAATGGTATTCCTTAATCTTTAAAAATTCATGGTCTTTTTTAAGAAACAAAAATTTCATACATCTTCTCCATTCTGATAGACCTCGCCTCAGATCCATTATATCCAACCTCCTGTCCTTACCAGCCAAGAATATTATATCTTGCTTTTTTTTAAGTTTGTATTATGAAAACAATAACTACTCATCTCATATACAGTTATATTATATTAAATATGACATTCAAATTATAGATTCTTGTTCTACTAATCTTAGAAGTTTCTGGTGTGCCACCTACTCTCAATCAAGGATCATATGTGTAGAACTCTTGCTTTAATTGGCCAGTTTATTTAGATTGGTAAGCTGGATCCCAGCTTAAGTTAAGGAATCTAATTAAAATAATTTGTACTCAGGACTTAGATCAGACAAGTAAATAAAACAGCTAGCATGAAGCTTTGATCAAAGTTGTGAGCCTGACAACTTATTTAAGCAAGAATAAGAGAAAAATGCTGTACAGAACACAATTCTTGGAATTGATCAAACTTAGGGTAGATATGCTAGCATTTTAGTTTGTCAAACAAATCACGGTGTAATAAGCATTTTGTTGACTGTTGCGTCAGCATCACGGCCTTAGCTGCTATCCAGGGAACCTTTTTTTCCCTGTAGTGGGCTACAGATTTAAAGCAGGTTCAGGATCCAGCTAATAATATTGAGTACTTAGAATTTGCCATGTGCTCTGCTAAGTGCTTTTGAATTTATAACAGTTTTATTTTTCTCCTTTAGTCCTCAAAACAAACTCCATTTTACAAAAGAGAGAAATCAGAAGTTAAGAGGTCTTCTGGTCAGTGGATGGATGGCAGAGCCAGAACTTGACATCTGTTGCTCTTATCACATCACAATGCTGGTGTCATAACCCAGTTTATAACCGCCTTTATAAAATCTGATTTGACTCTTTCATTTGGAATAAACCTCACCATTGCAAGGCCCTTGGGAATTCTTCTTTAGAAGCCCTAAGTTGTTCTTCCATGGATTTACTCAGATTAGTAAATTTCCTAGAAATAGATTCTCAGGCAGATTTGTAAGCATTTAAACCTCTTTGGAGCTTAAAGAGTATTTATTTCAGTTACTGAAATGCCCCCTGAAATACATGACTATTACATCCAAGTAATTATGAATGCTGGGCCTGGGGCTTCTTACTTTGTTAGGTTTTCATAACTTCCCTGAGCATCTGTGCCATTTAGCTCAGCAGCTGCTGCTTAGCTTTCTTAGCCACTGTTGGGATCATCGTCACTTCTTCATTAGATATATCTTCTCTTTTCTTGAATATTGCTTTAAAAAAAACCATTTTGTATTTTGTCAGTTTGAGTTTTTGAAATATTTCCTTATTTATAGTCAATGTTCTGATTTTTTAGCTAACCCCTATGAGTTCCCTCTGACTTTAGGAAATTATATCAAATATCCTTGATTCTCCTTTCTTCTTCTCTTAAAGATTCTGCTCTTCTCCTGATTCTACAGCCCCTTCCCCATTCTGAAACTACAGAGCAGGACCTGAGATACCCCAGGATGTGTCTCTTCCTCTCCCCAGCCCACACAGATGGAGATCTGTGCTCCGATGTTTGCCAGGAGAGTGATTTTACATCATCCTGTTCTGAGCAGCTCTGTTTGTCATCATTCCTTTTCTCTAGGCTCATTTATGTCTAATTAAAATTTTTGCTTTTTGCTTTCTCTGTTGTTCTCTGTACCTTTCATGTGTGTGAAGTTCACACTCTGGTTTTCTCCATTTGTTTTCTTTCTCTGCAACTAACTTGCTTTGTATTTGAGTTAACTCCTCTATTAAATGGGCATAAGACTAATGTTTACTACATCAAAATAGTATTGCTGATCAAAGGAGCATGCATGTAAATGCTTTTAGAAAACAATAACAAAAAAGATTCAGCTGTGAAAAGTGTTATTTGTAATTGATTCCAATTTAATGAAAATAGCAAACAATAGTATATGTCCTTTATTTCAAGCAATCTTTGATTAAAAACATGGTGCAGTTTAAATGTTTTGTTGGTGTTGGTTGTAACAGGATTTGCCATGTATCTTTCATCCCTTGATCGCCTTTTAGCTTGTCCTTTGAATCTTCTCTACATTTTCTGTGAATGTCCTTGAATGTTGTGGAAACCTGAAAGAGTCAAGAGTGAGCTCTGAAGAACTTCCCCACACACCCCCATATGATTCACTGTCAGTCTTCCCAGTGGGAGGGAGGACTTGGGGAACAGGCAGTCTGCAGTTGAGGTCCTCATTCTAAACTCAGAGCCCAGCACTCCCTGGGGGACCTACTGGGAAGTGCTGTCTTTGGCAAGCCCCTCTCTCGGCTGTGCCTAATGCTTCGCATTCCTGGGACTATTGTATAGCAGGCTGTGGAGCTGCTTCCCTGCTTCTTTCTCCAGGGTGCTCTCAGGCCCCTTTTTTCCTGTGCTAGGCTGACAGATAGAATGATCCCAGGGGCATCCGGGGTTAGTTTCACAGCTGTGGTTGGAGCTGTGAGCCCAGGCTGTGTCAGGGGAGGCTTGCTTCAGTGTAAATGAACCTATCAGAGCAGAACTCAAGGTCCCACGGTTACCTGCAGAAGAGAGGTGAAACTAAATTAGTACCTGCTCCCTCTCCCCGCTGAGAAATCTAAACCAACTTGACCTTTAAAAAGGATGGTAAAACAGGAGTGGGTGTGGTTGCAGGAAAGTGACATCTGTCCCATATGATTTGGGGGCCTGATGGAGTGGTCTGAACAGACCTGAAGTCTGATACTACTGTGATGTCTGGGCAAGTGACTCAGCTTCTAAGCCTGTTTCCAACTATAAAATGAAGAGCGATAAGCCTACCAAATAAGGTTCCTTCATGCATTTAAGTGATGCAGCACTCAATACCACCTCATATGTGTTCTTACTGATTTCTGTGACTGAGGACCAGAAAAGATAGGATGGGTGTGTGATTGATGCAGAGGAGAGGGAGCGGGGTGAAAAGGGAATGATTATTATGGGAAGGTGATGAGAGCTATATCTGTACACTATGTCTAAGCAGTGACAAGAATATAGAGAGGTGTAAATGCCAGGATGGGGGACGAGAAGCAAGGAAATTGGGAAGAAAGCCAGGGCTGGAAATGGAGTGTCCTTGTCCTGTGTGTCATGCTTCTGCGAGCTCAGCATAACAACCAGCTTCTCAAACATGCTTCCCCTTGTAAGATGGGGATCCATAGAGGTAGCAGGCCTTGCTGAGCTAGAGGTACAGGAGTTCTAATAGCAAGCACCATTATTGAGCCAGACTGGGGAGTAGGTCCTGTCACAGACACACTATGCAGTGTTTCTGAGAAGAATCCAGAGCCCGGGAGTTGGTCTGTACCCTGCTCCTCCATCATTCACTCCTTTTGTACTCTCCAGTAAGATGGTAAACTCCTGTGGGAGCAGGGCATTATCTTTTGTCTCCCCTCCTCCTATGCCTAGCGTAGTGTTCTGAATATTGATGTTTAGTGAATATTTAAGCAAAAATAAATGTATTATTCTGGAGCACAGCATCTTCTCCTGTTCATTAAGTATCACCATTGACCTAAAAGTTCTTTCCAAGTCTGGGCTATCCTCCTCCTTGGGAGGAGGAGAGTGCTAAGTGTGAGAGGAAGTCCTATAGGACTGTTGGCTTCCTGCCACAAAATAATTGGGCTGAAAAATGTAAAATTATTAAAAAATAGGGCAGTGTGGTTATTTCCACTTTACCAGGTAAAGGTGAGGGTCAAAGAGGTCACACAGCTTGTATATGAACTCCTGGCTCAGTGCTCTTTTCACTCCTCTGATCCAGAGGTCTGCCTCCTCACTAACTGATAAGCCAGGCTCTCCCAGCTGGGCTGCCATATCGGGGTGGGAGTGGAGGTGGGGAGGGCTTCACCATCCATCATTCTCCAGTCTTATGCGAAGCACCTGCTGTGATTTCCGGATTACCTGGTGAGCTCTGGGCGTGAGAGGACAGAGATCTGGGTGAACACGGGTCAGATTCCCCAGGAGGGAGAGGCCAGCAGGCATTTTATGGAGCTCCTCTGGGGTCTGGCACTTTGCTGGGCACTGAGATAGGAGGAGGCGTCAACCCTTAGAAGAGAGGCTTAGAAGTGAAGTAACCGCTCCTTGTCCGAAAGCCGTTGGGAGAGGCGCGAGAGAGAGCCATAGGAGCGGCTTTGCCTGGATATTCAGCTTGAAGGTGGTGGGCTTGGGCTCGAACGCCCTGAGGAAGCAGGGCTCACGTGGGGGCGGGAGTGCGGGCTCTAAAGGGACCCCTGACAACACCCAGGCCCCAGGACTGGAGGGACCGGAGGGTCCAGGGAGGGCGGGGCAGGGGCGGCAGTGAGCGCGCAGAGGGCGGGCTCCTCGGGGGCAGGCTCCGCCCCCAGGAGCACGGGTTTAAAAGGAGGGAAGGCGCGCGCGGGGGACTGGAGCCGCGGCCAAGTGTGCTGGAGCAGAGGCGCGGCCGGGGCCCAGCCATGACCCTGCAGGCGAGGGGCTCTCGGCTGCTCGGCGGCCTTCTGCTCTTTGCTCTGTTCGCAGCCGGCGCCGTCCCGCTCAGCTGGGATCTCCCAGAGCCCCGCAGCCGGGCCAGCAAGATCCGAGTGCACCCGCGGGGCAACCTCTGGGCCACCGGTAAGTCTTCAGGGCCCGGGCAAGCACTCTCCACCCCCTGCTCTGACCCCATTTTCCTTCTCTGGCCTCTCTTCAGCCACGGACACTAGTGTCCAGGCTAGTGGGGACCCTGGAACTCATCTAGTTTATCAGATGGGGAGCTTAAGACCCAGATAGGTAAGTGAATTGGCGAAGATCACTCAGCCTGTTTAAAGCAAAGCTGGGGCTGGATCCTGGATCTCCTGCCAGCCCGTGTCCCTTCCCTTACACAACTGAATCTTCTAACCTCTGGTGTGTCCCCTCTGTACCTCAGTCTTCCAGACACCTCTTGTTCTCCACTTCCTTCCCTGCCGTTTCCTCCTCCCTCTTCTAAGCAGGCAGCACAACTAGCAGAGTTTCTCCCTGGGCCATCCCACCCTCCTTCCAGCTGTGCCAACCCCTCCACCCACTCCACCTGTTCAAGAAAAGCTGAGGTACAGGCTTTACCACCAACAGGGGCTTTGGCTCCTTGGTGACAAGGAGGAGGAAGGTTGTTTATCTTCCTGCCATGGGAACTGAAAGGTCAGAGAGAGATGGGGAACTTTCTCACTGGGATAGGATCCTTGCTCCCTGACTTCCTTGGGCCTCGGCAACTCCTTTCTAGGTCACTTCATGGGCAAGAAGAGTCTGGAGCCCCCCAGCTCATCCCTGCTGGGGACAGCTCCCAACATCTCCCTGAGAGATCAGAGACTGCAGCTGAGTCATGATCTGCTCAGAATCCTCCTGCAAAAGAAAGCTCTGGGCATGAGCCTCAGCGGCCCAGCACCTCACACCCAGGTAAGCCAGGCCCCCACCTCAGGCCCAGAAGAGGCTCAGCCAGGGCTCTCCCTCATCGAGCATTGGGTTGAGGGTGTGATTGCCCAGCCAGGGTGTGATAGGCCCCAGAAAGCCAGGGATTCCAGGCTCTCCCTGTGACCCAGAGCTCAAAGGGAGAGGATTCCAAAGAAAGGAAGTTGACCTTCCCAGCAAACCTGGAGGAACAAAAAGTAGGGGAAGACTTTCCCCCTTGCCTAGTCTCAAATCACAGCCGGGGATTATCCAGCTTCTTCCAGCAGGACCTTCCCTTGCCTTCCCCAGTCCACACAGACTTGCCCCACCCCAGCTGTCCTCCTTGGCTATGGCCTGTGTGTGCCTGCGGTTAGAGTTGGGACCCTGAGGCCCAGAGAAGGGAAGAAGGGAGTTAGTCAGCGGGCAAGACAGAGTCTAGACTTTGTTCACCTTGCCCAGTGCTAACCCAGTCTCTCATTTGCCTCAGTGATCAATGGCAGGGTGTCTCAACCTCAGCACTTCTGACATTCTGGGCTGGATAGTTCTGTGTTGTGGGGGCTGTCCTATGCACTGTAGCTGGTCTCTGTCCACTAGAGCATTGTCCCACTCCCCCAACAACCAAAAATGCCTTTACATTGCCAGAGGTCCTTTGGTGAGAGGACAGGGGAGGGAGCCAAAATCACAGCTGGGTATAAACCACTGACCTGTGGGTTTCAAGGCCTCAAAGCTGGAGCCAAGCCAGCCTTAGTCTCCAGCCTGTAGGAGGGGCAGCTCCTCCATTCTCTGCTGCTGGTGCTGACGCCATCACACACCACCTTTCCTGGTACTTTGTTGCTACATGAAGAAGGCAGTGTGATGTGATAGAAGGAGGGCTGTGGTGACAGCATGCTAGGCTCATAATCTAGCTATTTAGTTGCTCTGTGACCTTAGAAATGTCATTTAAACTCTCTAAGCCTCATCTTCCTCATCCATAAAATGGGGATAATAGTGCCCACCTCCCATTAAATGAGACTATTTATGTCATGTTAGCATGATGCCTGATGCATAGAAAGCACTTAGTAAACAGGAGATATTGCCAATCTGTGAGCTCCCTGGCAGCACCTGTTGCTGACTTACCTTTGTATCACCCACTGTGCCTAGTATATAGTGTGTATATATTTGGGAGGGGGGCATAATTAGGTTATTTACTTTTTTATTATTATTATTTTTTAATGGAGGTACTGGGGATTGAACCCAGGGCCTCATGCATGCTAAGCAGGCACTCTACCACTGAGCTATACAGTCTCCCTCTAGTATGTATATTTTGAAAGAAGAGAGGGGTATTCCCTAGAGAAGGTCCATTCTCAGCCGCAGTCAATCTCTTTGACCCTCCTAATCACAGAACTGTTAGCCTCTGGGGAACCTTAGATGTAACGGCCAGGAGCTTGGGCTGGCTGAGTCTGAAGGGAGATGATGTCACCTCTGGGGCTGTTGGTCTTGAAGGCCTAAAACACAAAGACCAACTAGAGAATGTCAGAGGAAGCAGTACCTAGCCTTAGGGGTGGGGTGGGACATCAGAAGTGAGGTCTCAGGCACAGCTGGGGGTGGGGGAGTGAAACACTGAGACTGACCCAGGGCCAGGTTCAGTACTTGGACTTTACTTCTATGATCTCCTTTGATTGTCATGACCACTCGGTGAGGTTGGAGCTGAGAAAACCACTGCCTTGACCCTTCCCCAGCTCTTCTTCAGGGAGAAAGGTACAGGGGCGGGGCTGCCTCAGCTGAGAGCCTGCCCTGCCCCTGCCCTGCCCCTGCCCTTCCCCTGCCGCTGCCCACTTCTGTAGATGCCCAGCACTTAGGAATGGCAGGATGCCCCATCGTAGTCCCCTCTGCCCAGGTTAGTTCCTGTGTGTTCCCCTTCAGTACAGGAGGTTGCTGGTGCAAATGCTGCAGAAGTGATGCCATTAATCAGGAAGATACGACGACGCCCACCCTGGGAAGGTGCCGAATGGGACCATGGTCGTGGCCCCATCTGGTTGTAAATCATGGGCTGAAAACTCTGTTACTCCATTACTGTGATTTCTGGTTGGATTGCCAGGAATATTGCCAATGCAGACACAAATGTCCTTGCTGTATTTCTTGCTTCCCTGTTTAAAGTTATGAATAAAACCCTCCTCTTTACATAGACTGTCTGGTCCTCTCCTTCTGCCATGTTTGAGGGAATAGGAGGGAGAGGGGGCTGGAGAATCCAGTGTTCAGGAACACGGGGCTGGCCCCAAGAGTCCAGAACACTCCATGGCACCAGGCTGGCACTGACTCGGGGCTCCTACTTATTTGCTCATTCAACAAGCAGGTACTGACCGCGTGCTGTATGCCAGGTCTTGTGCCAAACACTGCGTTCTACTATCGCCTCTGCCACCTACCGGCAGAGGCAAGTCTCTCTCAAGTTTTCCACCTGTAAAAGGGAGCTGTTTACACTGCACGGCAGGGCTTTGCTTACCTCACGCCAAGCTTTGAGGAAAGCGCCCAGCGCAAAGAAGAGAGCTGAGGTGGAATCCAGACCCTGATGTCCCCTTATCTATTCTCTGGCCTTGTGGGGTTGCTAGTTAGCAAATAAAAATACAGAACACCCAGTTATATTCGAATTTCAGATGAACAATGAGTAGTTTTTTCGTATAAAGTACCCTAAACATCGCATGGACACACTTAAACAGAAAAATTATTCGTTGTTTACCTAAAATTCGAATTTGACCGAGCTTCCTGTATTTTATCTGGCCTTTGCCTTTGATCTGCAAATACCTGGTCACCAAACGGGCGGGCATTTGGTCCCCGCCCGGAACTGACGTCCTGGGAATCCCTGACTTTACGTCATTTTCCCCCAGAGCCTTTACCGGGAGAATCCCGAACTTACCCTGGCGAGGGCACGCCACATTCGCCTCTAGGCCCCGCCCCTTGGTGTGAGACCCGCCCTCCGGGTCAGAGCAGGCCGCGCCCACTCCTCGCGAGAGGGCCGCGCAATCCCAGAAAGGCTCAGAAGCGGAAGTGGAGTACCGGAAGCGACAGTTGCCATGGAGTCGGCGGAGGACTGGCTGGTGGAATCCTTGCGCTTGTAAGTCGTGTGCGCCTGGGATGTAGAATTCGGGCCCGGAGCTGGCCTAGGGCAGGACAGGAGTTGGGTGGAGCATGCAGGGGAATCCTGGTGAAGGGCGGGAAGGTGATCCGCATCCGGGAAATGGCACCTTCCTGTGTATGTTGTGAGGTACTAGTAGAAACAGTGCTTGTGGAGGATAACACAAGTGACCATTTATTTTGTGCCGGTCTCTGACTTAAACCTTAAATACAGATTATCTCGTTGAATCGTCACATCAATTTTGAGAAGTCTGGGTACTCTGGGAGTTCCATTTTACAGATAAGGACGAGGGTCGGGAAAATTGTGACTAGCCTGGTACCAGTCACACAGGGGCTAAAATGTGTAACAAAACTTGATCCCAGGTCTGCCTGATTCCAGAGCCTGGGACCCCAACCTCTGAACCATGCTACTGTCTCTATAACAGAGTTCTTTAACAGCTGTAAAGTAACATGCACCGTGTATCATTGTGTCCCTCTCATGCAGGTACCAGGATTTCCATGCATTCAACCTCTCGGGAGCCACTCAAGTCCTTGAATGGATGGGCGACAAAGGTGATATGCCCTGAAAGAGATGGAATCCCGCTCCTCAAACTAGCTCTCAGGAGCTCAGCCCATAGGGACCCAACTCACTCTTCTGGGAGCTTGAGGGCCTCTTGGTTACTTGTAGCAATTTCATGCCCCATCAGCACTTACAGTACTCGTATTAAGATCTAGGTCTCTTCTGTCTCCCAATACAAGGCTACATACCAATAGCAAAGGAGTTTATTTTGCTTTGGAGAATTTGGCAGTTTCTAGACCCAGCCATGGTCCAGAATCTTTCTAGCAGTATATTACAGCTACTTCTGCTTTTTTTCTAGGAATCTTGGTTGCTGGCTATGAAAGCCTGAAAAAAAATGAGATTCTTCATCTGATATTACCTCTCAGACTTTCTGTAAAAGAAAACCAGGTAACTTGAAATATATATGCTGAGTATATGTGTCTGATTCTACTCACTTATTAAACCTTTATGGAGCTTCTATTGTCTGCTAAATATTGTCCTGGAAACTAGAAAGAGAGAAACGATAAGCCCTGGGCCTGCTCTTATAGTCTAATAGATGGAGGCAAATACACACAGAGGTAAGTGCTATAGAATGTCCTGTGACTTACAGAGGGGTTCTAGAGCAAGAAGTCAGTTCTACTTAATCAAAAATAGATTTAGAGAGCCATTAAAGTATAGAGGGGGTTTGAAAACTTAGAACGGTTAATATCACGTAGGATGGATGTGTAGTGTGTAAGGAATAAGAGGAGAAGATGGCTAAAGACAGAACCGCAGAGACTACATTTAAAGAGTGAGTAGAGGAAGATGAACCTGCAAGGAATACTAAGAAGGAATAGTCTTTGAAGTAGGAGAGTCTCAGGAAAGGCCAGTGTTTCAGAAGCCAGGAGGAAAGAATGTGTCAAGAAGAAAAGAGCTGGTAGCTGCCTGCTGTTGCTATGAAATCACTCAGACTCATCGATGACAGGTCAGTCTGGCCCAGTGCTCTTGAGCTCCCTCGTCACCACCACTCAGGCTTGAGCCAGGAGCTCGCCCAAATTGAGCCTTGATGAGAGACCTGGTTTACCTCCCACCTTGCCCCTGGCTTTTCGTATTTTCTCTTGTGGCCTCCTTTTCCCCTGCCTCTGGTTCCTCACGCAGAGATAATAGAGTCTAGTGGCTAAGAGCATGGACTTTGGTTAGATGGACTTGGGTTCAGATTTGTAACATAATCCCTTTGTGATCTTAGAAAAGTTGCTTAAGCTCCCTGTGCCTGAGCTTTGTCATTTTTGAATAGGGCTAATTATAGTTTCTACATCGCAGGATGATTGTAAAAATTCAATGTCATAAAATAAAGCACTAAACAGAGTGGCTGACATAGTGAACACTGGGTAATTGGCAGTTGTTATATTTTTATTGTTAGAAGAACCCACCTGACTTCCAGTGGGAGGTTGGGGGAGGAATGGGGATGTGTTCGTTGGCTGATACTTTCCTGCTTTCTCTAAGCCTCTGTGACTCCTCTAACGAGGTTTGGAGTGTAACACTCGTGCTATAGTGAAAAGGGCTGGTGAAAGATTAGGAGAAAGGTTTTGGATGTGCAGGAAGGAACGGAAGCTGCCTATGTAGGCAGCTAAGACCAACATTTGCAAGTAGCATCCTGAGGCCCTCCAGGGAGAAGCATGATTGCCACCTGAGCAGCTCCCATGGCTTCCTGCCAGGCTGGTGCATGGCTTCTTACCTAGAGCTCATCTGAAATGTTCCTTTGGAGAGTAGCCTCTATCTGATTGGCCGCCTCTTTGTATTTTAGGGCTTATTTCCAGAAAGAGATTTCAAGGTACGCCATGGAGGATTTTCAGACAGATCTGTCTTTGCTCTGAAGCACGTGCCAGACACCAGGTATGGTGAACTTCGTGACCCAGACTTTCCATTCAGGATGGAGTGGCAGGAAATGTCAGGAGTATCATGTCTCTTTCTCATCACTTCACCCCTACCCCTGTGGCACATGGGCACACAGTGGGGGGCCCACAGCGGGGCGCGCACGCCCAGAGATCTGGAATACAAAGAAACCATTGCTCCGTAGCATCATGGTCTCTCACAGACCTTTTGACTGTTGTAACCCACAGATCGCTGGAATTGCTCCAGGGAATAGCTACAGAGTAGAAGGGATGCCCTTAGTCTTTCAGAGCTGAGAGTGGGTAGTTGGGGCTAATAGCTCAGTTGGCAGAGGCCAAGAGCCTCTGGATCAGGGTTATGTGTTCAGGCTCCCTGTTGTGTTCTTGAGGACACATCATGCCACATGGAAGCTGGGGCTCAGTCCCACAGATCCCAGTGAACTGTGGGCCTGTTTCTGAAGGGGAGTGAACTGGCTCCTTGTCTGTTACATGAGGGTAACTGGTCTTGATGCCTCCCTACAGTAAGTGTTCCTGCTATGGGGAATGTAGGAATCCCAGGCTGAGTGGGCTGGAGAGGGGAGAGGATGAGGGGTATTTTGGGGATTCTCCACTGTCTGGCCTGAGATTTCTTATCCATCTTGAATAGGTTGCTGGTGACCAGTGGCCTTCCCGGTTGTTACCTGCAGGTGTGGCAGGTCGCAGAGGACACTGGTGAGTGACTTTGACTTGGTGGAGGTTGGGGTTGTAGGAAAGCCTGATACTCCCACACCCCCAGCCCATCATCCCAGCCAGTTACAAAGCAGACTCAGAGCCAGGCGGGAATTCAGTGAAGTACCTACTTTAATGCAGCAGAGATGAATTAGCAACCACAGCAGGGCACACAGGCTCCAAATGGCGCTTCTCAAAACTTGCTTCAGGAATTGAGTTTTCCAACTCAGTCTTAGGCAGAGCATTTTGTGAACCGCAGGCCCCTCCCCTAGGCAGGGACAGGCCAGGGCAGAGCAAGGGCAGCTCAGGTGAGCTCACTTCTTAGAGGAGGAGAAGGAGGCAGCAGGGAGGTCACCTCTCTGTGGGCACACTGGTCTCAGGGAAGTCGCAGGCATGCTTGTCTCAGGGAAGGAGAGCAGTGAGTGAGCAAGTGGCTGGGCTGAGTCTCCCGCTCAGAGAAGTCACTCTGCTCCCCAGCAGAGGAACAGGAAAGGAGCAGGAAGTGTTAATCCTGTTCCCTCTGGGAGTGGAGGGGAATTCCTTCATAGCATCACTCCAGGTGGGTTTGCAGTTCCCCTGTCAGGCAGGCACCAGAGCATGCCACCCTGATCCACCCCTTCCCCCCCTCCTCCAGTTAGAGCATTGTTGGCCAGCGTGGAAGTGGGCCACACAGGCACAGGCAGCTGCTCTTGGAACTGCCCCTTGGCCTGTGTGATCCTTTGCCTGGTCCCCGCACAGCCTCACTTGGATGTTTCCCAGAAACTAGCAGGCGTTGGCCTCTCCCCAAGCTTCACTGCTACAGAAAGGCTGTTCTTGTCCTAGTTTGGTTTTTGAGGTTACTGCCCCTGTGGGCTTTCCTTTGTTATTTCTGTCTTGTCACTTGTCTTATGCTATAACTTCCAGATGTTTACATATACTTACTTGTATTTATGATCATTTTTCATAATTTTGTTGAAATTCACCCATTTTAAGTATACAGTTCAATGATTTTTAAAATAAATTTAACAAGTTGTTCAACCATCACTACACTCCAGTTTTAGAGCATTTTCATGACCCCAGTGATATCTATCATGCCAATTAGTATGAATCCCATGCCCACCCCCTGTCCCAGGCAGCCACTAATCTATTTCTGTCTCTTAATAGATTTGCCTTTTCTGGATATTTCATATCAATGAAATCATACAATCTGTGGGCTCTTGTATCTGGCTTCTGTCACTGAGCATAATGCTTTTGAGGTCCACCATGTCAAACAGTATCTGCTGTTTGTTCTTTTTTATGGCTGAATAATATTCCATCATGTGATGTACTGCATTTGTCTATCTATTCACCAGTTGATGGACTGAATTTTGATTATTATGAATAATGCTCCTAAGGACATTCATGTACAAGTCTCTGTGTGGACATGTTTTCATTCCTCTTGGATGGACACTAGGAATGAAATTGCTGGACCATATAGTAAATTTATGTTTGATTTTTTTTTAAGAAACTTCCAAACTGTTTTCCAAAATGGCTTCATCATTTACATTCCCACCAGTGGGGTTCCTGTTTCTCCATGTCTTCACCGACATTTGCTATTGACTATCTTTTTATTAAAGTCATCCTGATTGATGTGAAATTGTGTATCATGCGGCTTTCATTTGCAGTTTCTTAATGACTAATAATGTTGAGCATCTTTTTATGTGATTATTAGCCTTTCATGAGAGCATTTTGTTTGGTTTTTTTCCCTTAGCAAGCTGAGATAACATGCTGTCACAGGTCCTTTTATATTCTAATTTAACTGTACATTTTAATAGATTCTTGTTCAGCTTAATCAGCAATCTATAAGATGTAACAGTTATATTCATGAGTGTATATTATATTCCAGTCACTGTACTAATCACTTTCTATGTGTGATTTCATTAAATTCTCATGAGTCTGAGAACAAACTCTGTCCCAGAGAGGCTACTTTGTTCAAAGTCGAAAAGATGGTAGCAGAACCAAGACTTAAGTTTTCTAGTCTGACTTCAGAATCTGCTTGTAACCGTGCCTAGTGGTAACTTTAGTCAGATAATAATAATTGATCTCAGTATCGTAGGTAGGGGCTCTGAAAAAAAGGTGGTGGGGTGTTTACTGACTGGCAGCATGGTCTCTGCCACCTTTTTGCTTAGAGCTAGTTCCTGGAAATAGATCTAATGAAGGGGCACATAATAATAATAATATATTATTATTATTACTGTTATTTGCAGCAGTAGCTAACATTTCATCATTCAAACAACAAATATTCATTGTGTGCTTCTGATGTGTCAAGCATTGTGCAGGGTTCTGGGGCTATAACAGCAAACAGACATATAGATGTTCCTTGCTTTCTGGGTGCTTATATTTTATCAAATATTTTGCCCATTTTTTGATTAGGCAATTTTGTCTTTATTGAGTTGTTAGTTCTTTGTACGTTCTGGATACAAACTGTTTATCAGGTATGTGTTTTGCTAATATTATCTCCAGTCTTTTACTTGTCTTTTTATTTTCTTAATAGTGTCCTTTGAAACACAAAAGTTTTAAATTTTGATAAGGTTCATTTTATTATTTCTCTTAGAAACTGTGCTTTTGGTGTCAGAGCTAAGAAATCTTTACTTAACCCATAGATTTTCCCCCATTTTTCCCCCCAAAGTTGTATTGTTTTAGCTCCAACATTTAAGTCTGTGGTCTCTTCAGAGTTAACTTTTGTGTATGGTATGAGGGAAGGATCTCAGTTCATCTTTTTGCGTGTGAATATCTGGTTGTCCCAGCACCATTTGTCAGAAAGCCTAAACTTTCTCCATTGATCAGCTTTGGTGCCTTGTTGAAAAATCAGTTGACCATGAATTTAAGGATTTATTTCTGGACTCTCAGC